TTTTATTTAATGATGTTTTCTTACAAAATGACCCGAACAAATCCTACACAAGTCAAGCTATGTAACATGCCATGCAAGTCGTTTGTAATTTCATCTGAATATTCCATTTTGCCCATGACTATTTAATTTGATTATGTCGTCGTTGTTTAAAGCAAGTGATGCGTCAAGGAAATTGCATGCGAAAATTGACAACAGAAAGCTCATAGTTTTGGAATTTAAGAAAAAAGAGGTTGAGTTTAGGGAAAAAATAAAAAAGGCATAGTTACCACAAAGCAATCAGACAGCCACTTACCAACCATAGGAACGATTAAAAGTGGCAACTTTATTTTGAAGTGTTACTTTAGATAAAGTTCAATAAAAAAAATATGAACATTTTCTTTCGACAAAAAAGTATTGAATAATTTTTTTGATAAATCATAAATCTAATTCTAATCCTACCTAATAGGAAGGGGAAGGAGAGTGTTCCTAATGAGTCTAGAACTCATGACTTGAGAAAATATGAGGGAATAAAGATGAGTAGTTTAGCCACTCGATCAAATATACTTACTCAAAATTATGAACATTTCTTTTGGTTACCCTCTAGTTCAAAGGTTTCGCCTTAACTAATATGGACTAACCTGGATCACACACCTAGTTTTAGTAGGTGAGTCTCCCAACGAGAATTTTTTGCGTACACAAATACTCGAACCTAATGATTTAAAATATCTATTACTATGATGATTTAATAAAAAAAATATTATAAATCAATCTTAGATTCCACCAACTAAACATTAAAATCTTAAATTTCGACTAAATCAATCAAATAAGACACCATAACATATATACATGATAATGTGCTAAGTAGTTTTATATTTCGGTAACTTTATTACCAAAAATAGTTTTGTATTTCATAATTTAATGGTATGTAAGATTGAAAATAAAATGAGTTTATAATTTGATGCACTGACAGTGTACTACAATATTAATAAATATCATGTACTGTTACCAAAAAATAAATATCATGTACTAATATATTGACAATATTTTTGCTATCTTATTAGTGAATAAAATGATTATACATTATTAAAAAAATAAAACTAACTTTGTAACAAAAAATAAACTAAACTTTCTTACTTTTTTTCTCTAATGATACAACATTTTTTTTGAATAATTGATGGTGTATAGAATTACATAATAGAATCAAACATTAATTCTTTCAATTATGAATTGATATTTGGTGTATTGAGATTTTATAATTTTATATATCGATAATGAATTAATTAATGATATCATAAAAAAATAAAAATTAGAGTTATTTTTTATGTAAATAGAAGTTGATAGTTTTATTAAAAATAAGAAATATTCAAAATTACAATGAATATTTACAAGGTAAACGTAAATTAAACATATAATCATGACATCTTTTTATAACCATTGATACAAAAACTAGACATTCGAGATTATACAAGGAAAATGTTAAAAACTCATCCGAAAAATCAAATAAAAAATAGATACGAATAGATCTGACTGCATCAACAAACGAATCAATAAATGAGATCAAACTACTAAAAGATTACCAACAAACGTAAATTAAAATTAAGCGTCGTGAGAAAAATATCTCTAAACATAAACCACGTATTCAAATTTGATCCATGGGTCCAAAGTAGGGAAGATTAATACAAATAAGCATAATATTGATCAGTCGAGATGATATCAAATCAAATTTTGAGCAAATTAAACGAAAAGAACAACCAAATGACTGATAAAAAATATAAATGTGCTAAAAGACATAAAAAACATGTTATGTAAACAAAGAAAAACATACTAAAATGTAAAATAACCAATATATATCATTCAAATAAGACACCATAACAGATACATGATAATGTGCTAAGTAGTTTTATATTTTGGTAACTTTATTACCAAAAATAATTTTGTATTAATAATTAATCGTATATAAGATTGAAAATAAAAACGAGTTTATAATTTGATGCATTGACAGTGTACTACAATATTAATAAATATCATGTACTGTTAACAAAAAATAATATCATGTACTATATATTGACAATAATTTGCTATCTTATTAGTGAATAAAATGATTATACATTATTAAAAAAATAAAACTAACTTTGTAAAAAAAAATTCATACCTTTTTCTCGAATGATACAACATTTTTTTTGAATAATTGATGGTGTATAGAATTACATAATAGAATCAAACATTAATTCTTTCAATTATGAATTGATATTTGGTGTATTGTGATTTTATAATTTTATATACCGATAATGAATAATTAATGATATATCATAAAAAATTAAAATTATAGTTGTTTTAATGTAAATAAAATATGCTAGTTTTATTAAAATAAGAAATATCAAAATTACAATGAATATTTACAACGTAAACGTAAATTAAACATATAATTGTGACATCTTTTATAATCATTGATATAAAAATTAGACATTCGAGATTATACAAGGAAAATATTAAAAATTCAACCAAAAAAAATCAAATAAAAAAATATATACGAATAGATATGATTGCATCGATAAACGAATCACAATATGAGATCAAACTACTAAAAGATTATCAACAAACATAAATCAAAGTTAAGCGTCGTGAGAAAAAAATCTCTAAACATAAACCACGTAATCAAAGTTGATATGTGGATCCAAGTAAGGAAGATCAATACAAATAAGCATAATATTAATCAATTATAACTTTAATTAACATACTTATTGTAGATAATCCACGAACCAATTATAAACTTTTAATTAACATACTTATTGCAGATAATTTCATATATAACTAGTGATCCAAATGATATAAACTACATTATATGCGTCATCAGTATATTAAATACTAACCTATCAAATATAGATTTTATTTAATATACTAATTGTAGATAATTGCTGATTAATGAACAAAATGATATAAATTAAAAAAATAATTGAAAGTTCAATTTTGATGATAGGAGATAATTTGATTTATTGATGATGATTATAATATATATTATTAATACATCAAAGATTAACTTCCGATTATAATTATATATATTGTTCTTTTATCAACATAAGATGCATTGATTTTAAAAGAGAACAAATGCATATAAAGCATAACATAAGTTCACGGGATAGAGCTCTGCTAAGTTCCAAACAAAGAAATAAGAGAGTCCAAAATGGGAAGAAAAAAAAACCCTAAGCAGGGAGAAGCAAAACTAGAACAAGGAATAAATAAATAAATAAGAGAGAGAGAGAAAAGAAAAGCAGAGAAGTTGACAGCCAGTAGAAGAAGCAGCGAGTTGTGGTTGATTTGTTTAAGGGCCTTGACAGTGGAAGAACTCCGACAGAGAAGAATTCCTCCATCCAGAAGAATGAAATCTTTATTCTAATCAGACACCATGGTTGATGAAGACAACGAAGACGGACTAAAACATCAAAAAGGAGTCAAAGAGAGAGAAACCAACAAGATCCCACTGACGTTGCCGGATCTGTCGGGAGAAGACTTTAACACTAGACCAATGCCGAGAGCAGAAAACTCTCATTGAGCAAGTCGATCAGGGGACTCCTCAGAGGCAACAAAAACCAAACCGAGGAAAGAAAAAGATGACATCCCAAAGGAAGAGAAAACTGGAGGAGGAGGGTTTAAGAGGGAAGCACCTGACACAGTACCAAGGCCATCGAAAAATGATGTTTCGAGCTTTAAAAACGAAGGAGAAAAATAAATGAACAATTAACATTGTTTATCTATTTTTTTTAAAAAAAATCATCTCTTTTAATCCTTTAATATATATATATATTTATTAATTAAACTAAGATAATTATAAAGTAGTATTCGTTTTAAATACTCTCAATTATTTGACAATGAATGTTCAATCACACTGCTACAGTTATTGATGCTCGAATCTGTGATCTTTGGGAACAAAAGCGATTTCTTTAATCGTTAAGATAAGTTGATTCGTGTTAATCCTTTAGTATATTTTAAATTCGAACAACTACGTTTTATATGAAGTATACATTAACAAAAGATTAAAAAGTTTCAAAACATATATTTGTTATAGCCACCCATATTATTATTATTTTCCCGAATAAAAGCCGTTAGTATTATTAAAAAGTGAAAATATATGAAATTACAATAAGAGTTGACAACTATATATCATAGTAAACTAAATATATAATTTGGACTTTTCCTATAACATTGAAACTAGTAACTTTAGATCATTGAAAACCCAACCAAAAGACTCGAAAAAAATAAATACGAATAAATCTTATTACATCGACAAACAAACCACAAAAAGGAAATTTAGCTATTGAAAGACCACTAAGAACTGTAAATCAGAGCCGAGCGCCGTGAGAAATTTTCCACAAACATAGAATCATGCATCCAAATTCAATATGAAAGTCCATAGTAGGGAAGATCAACAAGATTTCAAAAAAGCGTCATCTTGATCAGTCGTGACGTCGTCAAATCTAACCCTGAGAAAACATAAATAAAAAAACAGATAAACAACCGAGAAAAAAATGAAAAATGTGTTATAAAAGCATAGATAAATGTGCAACACATGCAAAATTATTCTTACTAAAAAAATAATAAAGAGAAAAGATAATCGACGGTCGACAATCAATATCGAAATCGGTGCCTTTGTAGGTTAAACAAAATCAAAGGAAAAAAATTGATCTATCTATAAAAAAAGATACAAACTCAAATGAAAAAAAGACAAAAGAGAAGAAAAATTGATCTGATCTTAAAACCGAATCCATTTAATTTTCGTGATTTTGAATTTTTCTTCATCATTATATTAAATAAACCATTTAAATTATTTTACGTGATTTCTTTCAAATTCAGCCAAAAAAAATCTTAATGGTTTAGATGATTGAAAATTCTAACTTTTAAGTCACGTAAGAACCTAATCCAAAGAGTAGCAAACAAGGAACAAAAATAACACATCATACAACGTAACTTATAGGAAAATTATTCGTACACCACAATTCCACAAACATATAAAATTCAAACACATACACGAAAGGATAAAACCATAATTAGTAGAGAATTACATTGACTACAACGACATACATAAAACGATTAATTAATTTTCAGTTTATACAATAGAAAGAGCTGCTCCTCTTCACCACCCTTCTGATATTTCTCACTGCTTCATGCTTTCTCTCTGGCTATCAGCTCCCTGTGAATAAGAAAAACGAAGGAGCAAGTAATGTCAGCCAAGGGATCACTAATTTCTCTAAGTCATAACAGATTATAATAAATATATAGAGAACAACCGGAGAGCGGCGGTGAGTTGAGCGGCTTGGTTGAAGTCTTGGTTTTCTCTGGCTTTCAAAATTTGGAACATGAAAGCAAGGCGGAGCTGGGTGCTCATGCTCTGCTGCATTACCATGTTAGTCTCCCTTCGGAGCTGCTCGCATTCCATTTCCACGGCTTCAAATTTTACTCTCACTTGTCTTTGCCCTTCTTTGATCTTCCCTTGTTCCTCACTTATTTCTTCCATATCCGATCGCAGCCGCTTCATACGCCGGCGAAGGGTTTTCGACTTTCCTCTCTGTCCAAGTAAAATTCCATGTTAAAAAAATACTCATTTCAACTTCTAAACTTGATCATGATAATGATATCATACCGTAATAGATGCATACTGATATTCGATATTCAAATCTGAATTAGAGTACTAACATCAGTAAAACTCTAAAAAAAATTAAAGATAACATTGTATCAAGAGTAAGAGACATATAAAAGGACTGTAGGTGGTAGCAGGTTCAAAATTCAAATACCCGGCTGAGAGAAAAGCGACAATGGGGTTTACAAAAAGGAAAGACCTTGGGAAACTTTTGTCGGCTCAAGGTATTCATCGTAGGATCACTGCTTACTGGATGTGAAGCATATCATCGTTTTCCTCCCGTTTATTTATAAAACCCTACTTTAGATACACAGGAGATCGAACGTTTTCTTGCGTTTTGCGCGTTATAATTGCGCGTCATCGCGCCTATCCTACGACAATCGACCGACTCTTATTTCTATTGGCTCACCTGTCAATGTTTTGATTATTAAGGGTTAACTACAAAGTTAATCACTTATCTTTTAGTTTTGTCCAAGTTTGGTCATTGATTTCAAAATACATAAGATATGGTCACTTACATTTTTATTTAATTAAGATAGGGTCACTTTTGTTTTTATTTAATTAAAATGTGGTCACCCCGAGTTAATTGTTGATAACAACAGTTAAATATTTTTTATATAATCACACATTTGGTCTCTGTTATTACATATTCTCTCAATTTAGTCATAATTTTAATAAATTAAAATAAATTTAATCATCAAATCGAACAATTCCACATGTCATGATAGTAAGGTTATTCAAAAATACCCGACCCGATTGAGCTGACATGCAGACCAGCTAACCCAGTTAAAAAAATATCGAGTATTTATTATAAAAATAATCGATTTTTCGGGTCGGGTACCCAACCAGGTTTCTGGGTCGAGCATGGGTCATAAAATGTTAGTTAACCGGGTACCTTCTGACCCGATACCCGATTTATTATATATTTTCAATTTTATTTTATATTAAATTTTGATTCATAATCCTCAAATTATTTCACTCCAGCATTCTAAAATCCTATTTTCTTAAATTTTAACACCATAACGTTCTAAATTCTTAATTTATTAAATTATTTCACATTAACATTCTAAATTATTTTTTGAAAATATTTATTTTAACTTCAAAACATTTGAAATTTAATTATATTTCTTTATTTTGAATTTTAATAAATTTTATTTTAATTATATAATTTAATTTTTTGAATTTTATTTGTAAATTATATATTATAGACTTTTAAATTTTAGATTTTATATTTTTATATAATTCTTTAAAAATATAATTTAAAAAATAAAAAATATCGGATACTCGTGACCCGAATTATATATAATATAATTTTATATATATTGACTTAAAATATATAATTTATTTTAATTTATTATAAGTATGACTAAATTGAGAGAATATATAAATAAAATGACCAAATTTGTAAATATATAAAAATATTTAACTGTTGTCAACGTCTAAATCTTGTTTAAATAAAAACGAGGGTGACCATATCCCTGGAATTTTAAAATTAGTGACTAAAAATGTACAAAGCTAAAAGATAACTGACTAAGCATGTAGTTACTTAAAAGGTAAGTTATCAAATTCTATGGTTCCAAAACTTACCGTTTACTTTTTTTGCAAAGATATTTTTAAAATAAAGATCACGTTTGTTTCATTAAACTAGATATACATCATAAAACAAATATATAGAAAATAATATAAATCTATTACGATTATTTATATATATATATATATATATATAATAATAATAATAATAATAATAATAATAATAATAATAATAATAATAATAAAGTGAAAATTAAAATTCTCAACTTGTACTAATTGTTTCTTACCCATTGCCATCTGCCTCAACGAACTCTGAACTCGTGTCTTTGGATTCCTCATCTTATCTTCTCCTCCACTCTTCAGCGTATCAAAGTTCTAACTGCTACAACCAGAAGAACCCAAAATTCTTCAAAAAAAAATTTCTAGAACAGAAAATATAAGCAGTGGAAGAGCCGTTCCTTAATAAATAGTAGTCTTTGGCCGAGATGAATCCTTTTCCTTTTCTTTCGTGTTTTTAAAATTTTCACTTTTCAGTTGGCTTTATGTCAATGAATGCTTCATCGGTTAAATGAGAGTAGATCCAGCTGTTATGAGGTCTTAAAAGGCCAGATCCGGCTGCTGATTACGTCGGAAATGACTTCGAAAGACAGGGACTCTTACCGGATTAAGTTTATAGATAATCAAGGCTAGTTCGATTTCTCAATCCGTTAAACGTGGCTAAATCTAGCTGTTATGGAGGCTGGAAATGGGATGCTGGACCTGATTTACATCGGTTTTGATCTTGAAGGAGGGCGTGCTTCCGACCAGATTTCTTTCACTGCAGGTCAGTGACTGCATCTCCGCCGTAACGGTGGCGATATTAAAGGAGGAAAACAGGAGAGTTCTGTTGGAATTTTATGATTTGACAAGAAAATATAAAGACAAACGCATGAAGCGGCTACCTATTAATTAGTGGCTTAGTGGGGACGAGACCCACATCACGCAGGCCGCGTAAAAAGATTTGGTAAATAGATGGGCAGTAAGGTGGTCCTACCCTTACGCGTATTGTGGTATGCTTATCCTCACAAAAAGTGAAACGTGACACGTAATACTAAAATTTTAATATAGTAAATTACACATTTAGTAATTAAATTAAAAAATACTTAACATTTAGTTTTTTTTATTTCATTTTAATATTTTGTCATTAAAAATTTAACGTATTTGATATCTAAATTATTATTTTTGATTTATTTTAATACGTAATTTTTTTTAAAACTTAATATAAATTTTAAATGATAGAGTCTAAAATGAAATAAAATTAAATTTTAGTATAACTTTGAAAAAAATAAAATATTTAAATATTAAAACCAACCAAAATTAATAATTTAGATACTAAACATAATTTACCCATTTTAATATGAGAAAATAACCTCAGTGACCAAAAATCCCATATAATATACGATTTTAACCAATTTTTTCCGGATTTGCCAAAATGACCAACAAAATCGAAATGCGATCGCTAATTCGCAACGCGATCTCCATTATCGCAAATTCGCGTTGCGATAGTTGGAAATCGCGTTGCGATGGTTTACAGTGTCGTTGCGATTTTCCCAATTCGCAATGCGAATAAGTAAATCGCAACGCGAATTGGGAAAATCGCAATGCGATACTACTATCGCAATGCGATAATACAAAATCGCAACGAGATACTGACTATCGCAATGCGATAATACGAAAATCGCAACGAGATACTGACTTTCGCAACGCGATTCTGACTTTCGCAACGCGATAATACATAATCGCAATGCGATTTTCAAAGCGCCATTAGTATCCTGGCCAAGTATTTTATTTTTAAATTCCAAACACGAATATTAATATATTGGAACACTGAACCGTCCACAGTATATCCCGTAATCGCAACTCATAACCTAAAACCTAAAATCACAACTCAGTCCCATCTCCATCTCTCACCCATCTCCGACGAAATCCGTCCCCATCTCCGGCGAAATCCGTCTATCTCCATCTCTCAGAGCCACCCTCACAATCAGAAATGGAAAATCAACCAAATCAACCACGAGGGTTAGTTTTTTTAAATATTTTCTTTTTGAAATTTTTGCATTATTATTAGGTTTTTCATATTGAAATTGATGATAAGTTTACTGGTAATTTCAATAATAGATTAACCATTTCACTTAGATTGCTTATTAAATAAACCGAGAATCGCAACGCGAAATGAAAATCGCAACGCGATTTTAGTTTCGCCTTGCGATTCTCTCGTTGCGATAGTCAAATTCGCGTTGCGATAGTCATTTTCGTGTTGCGATTTTCATTTTCAGAAACTATTCTTCTTCTGCAAATTGAAACTTGAATGAATTGCATTACTTCAACCAAAAAACAAAGACAAATACGAAATTCACAGTGTTGCAAATTTAAGTTTGAAGAATAAACTACTACTCTTTATGTTTATTATTGTTTTTGGTATATCTTCACAGTGTAGTTTTTGGTATATCTAACTTATTATGTTTATTGTTTTTGTAGAACTTTTATTCGGCTCAATTGACCTTAAGAAATAAAGTCAGCCTGGCCAAAACAATTGCGTCGAAGCTTTCACCTGCACAAAGAAAAATGTTTGAGGATACATGCTCGGGCCATGGCTGAAAGTACAACATCCGGTGGAGATGCGATGTTGACACACTGTTTCTTCAAACCATGACTAGCGATCTACCAGAGACTATACAACGTCGTGATGAAGAGATATGGTTTAATTTTCCACCGACGTATACGTGTTTTGGGCGGGAGGAGTTTTGCTTAATCACCGGTCTACGCTTCGGACACGATGATGTAGGTCGATACACTAGACACATTACCCACCCATCATGGCTATCCCGGGTTTTTTCATGAGCTGGAGAGGTCGAGTCTATACGTAGAAGACCTGACAAGATTGTTGAATAAGAAAGATGGTTTTACTCGGATGGATGACGTCGACGTTGTCCAGTATGCCTTCTAATTCTTTTGCATGCCGGCTTTTTAGGCAGAGAGGCCAGACAACCTATTCCAAATGATCTAATCAAATTGGTAGAAGACCTAAATGCGTGGAACCTGTTTCCGTGGGGCTCGTATTTATGGAAAGCTACATGGAATAAGTTATCGTCTGCCTTGGATGATCGAAAAAGTTTGCATGGCGATGGTTCCAAATACACTTTGACAGGCTTTATTTGGGCCTTTAAGGTAAGAATTTTTATATGATGTTTCCAAAATTATAAGTAATTATTTAACAATTACTAATGTTTGTTATTATATTGTTTGTAGATTTGGATATTTGATGCCTTTCCCGCCATGAAGACATATGCAATAAAAACTTCAAATGATATTCCCAAGGCTATTTCCTGGAAGAGGAAACGGACCTTGCAATGGGAAGATTTACTACGGTATACGACAATAAATAATGTAAGTTAACATAAATACTACCATATGTTTATAAACAAGTTATTACTAGTACACGTTTAACTTTGTTTGAGCTTTTATATTGTTAGGAGGCCAACACTCCTCTACAGAGGCTGACACCCACGGAAGCTGAGCTTGCCACTGATTGGTGGCAAGCTAGTAAGCGTTTTTTTGATGGAACGGTTGATGAGCAGCCTCTACTTCGGGATCCATTACCTCGTCCAGAGCTATCACCTCACCCAGAGCCATCATCTGATCGACCCGGCTATACACCTCCACAACGACAGCCATCACCTATTCTGTCACAT